CGGGACCGTGGAAAAGGGATCCTGGGTTTGTGATGCTCCAACCTACTTTAGCCATGATCACTAGAATAACTTTCGAGCACCAGGAAAACACCCCCAAACTCAAGGGTTTTCACGTATCGGGCCCTGGGGGACACTCTTTTGACACTTTTCCGGGTGCTCGGAATTATTTCTGGGATGCGGTCCTTAAGTTGGACGGGGACAACAACATAATTCTTGGTGACAAACGGCGCCAGGTAGGCCCCGTGAAGGGTCCCGGGGCCGTTTTGGAGTGGATTCGGCTTCATCCCCTCCTCCTGACCGAGTTTCCGGTGTTCCTACCAGTTCAGGCCCCCTGGCCGCCTCCAAGGTTTTAACGGTGTCAATTCCGACGGGAGAAAACTCACCACCCACCAGACCACCCTAACCCAACCCGAAGGCTCAGATTTACCCTCGATTTCCAGTGGGGGGGGGTCGAGAAACATCGAACAAAAACACATGTGGAACCCTTACCCCCCCCAACCCGAAATTCGGGTCTTCGGGTTGGGTTGGGGTGGTCTGGTAGGTAGTCAAAAACGGGGCCGATGGTGCGGACATCCGCGCGCAAGTTGCCCGCATAGGGTGGCGCGTAAACGCACTCGTTTCCAATGTGCCATCCCGCGTAGGCGCCCTCGTTTCCAGCCTACGCCGCCGCGCCGGGTCGCTGTGCCATCTCGGGCCGGACGAAAGGGGGGGATTGGGAAAGGGGGGGTACGAAATTTGCTGCATGCAGCTGGTTTCGGCCCCACCGAGGAGCCCATTCCTCGATACATAGCCGCCTCCGGCGCCGGGAGGCGCCGGGAAAATCAGCTGCGTGAGCTGATTCTCACCCCCCCCCCTTTGTTATCCTCCCCTTTCGCCAGACCCGACCATCGTGTGTGAAGCTCATTTCTTTTCTGTCGCCCAGGTGGGTATGGGCGTCTGCACCGACGAGGCTGGGAGGATTCGGGGAGCAAGCAATGACATATAAACATGAGCTTCCGGAGGTCCGCGCGGATTTGTTGGACCCTCGCTGGCGCCGCCCTTGGCGCACTCCGCGCGCCAGGGAGGCGGTCCAGCGCCGATCCGAGGAATCCGCGCGAAGCGTCGAAAGTCTACTTGCATGCAGTTTTTACTGTTCTGAAGGATGCTGTCCGACTATCACGCCAGCAACGAGTCTGGCATCGGCGCCTGCAGGGGTCACTGCAACAGGTACGCGGAGTGCGCGGGCTACTCGTGGCACCCCTCCGACGGCACATGCAGCCTCTACGTCAGGACCGGGCTCTGGAGGCCCTCCCGCAGATCCAGCGAGCAGACCTCCGGCGTCCTGGCAGAACCAGCGATGGAGGGGTAGGGCCAGGTCGACAGAGAGCAATCCTACGTAAGCATGAACTTTCGGAGTCCCGCGCGGTTTTTTCGGATCGGCGCTGGACCCCCCTGGCGGCGCCTCCGGCGCCGCGCCAGGCAACCCCTCCTTGGCGCGCGGAACGTAACACGGAAGGGGTTTCAGCGCAGATCCTAGAAATCCGCGCGGACATCCAGCAATTTCTGTGTATTCATCGTATTCTTCGTCGAGTTATGGGGGATGGGCTCGCTCAGGAGGGATGTACCATCCCCCAATCGCCCACGGATCGCGGATATTGCTGACAGAGCACCCCGCCCAGGAGCGTGCGGATTCGCTTTGAGGCCAGTCGCGGATCTATTTGCGATGTATCGCCGATCTCATGCCGATTGCCCCCCCTGGCGCAGTCCCCCCCGAAACGTTTTTCCTCGATGATGTCCGAGGAAGGTTGAGGGAAGTGCGGATGCTTGTTCGGGTTGGGGTGGTATTCGGGGAGCTCGTGGGACGTGTACTAGCCCATTGCTTGTTTACCCACCTCGACTCCACCGATAGCACGCAGCTCGTTTCGACCCTCATTGCACTGCCCGCGTCGTGTTGAGGGGCGCTGGTGAACAAGCACAAGTTGGCGCTGGCACACGTTTTCAGGATCACTGACTGGATTGCGCTCGAAATTCTGGTCACGACGTACCTCGGGAGAGCTCTGGGGGTCGATGTTTGACCCCCCTCCTCAGACCTCCGGCGTCGCGAACCCCCCCTTCTTCTCGTCGTGAAAAACAAGCCGGCGCTCTGTTTTCGACCGTTCTGTCATCCTTTGTTAGCCACGAGACGTAGGATGAGGATATGTAGGATAGGAGGGAGGCGGAGGGAGGAAGGGGGGGAGGAGGAGGAGGAGGAGGAGGAGGAGGAGGAGGAGGAGGAGGAGGAGGAGGAGGACTCCACGTCTCCCTTCCTTGTTGTCTGTTCTCTCTGTCTCTCTCTCTCCCTCTCTCCTCTCTCGGTGTCCATGTGTATGCATCTACACACGCGGCAGAAGCAGATAGCGTTAGTTTGTCTTTGGGTGCGGCGGTGGTGGTGTGCGTTGGCTGTCCCGCAGGAAGCCGCTGGCCTCCCCGCCGGAGGGTTACACCTTCTTCGACGCGGGCGGCTACGCGGGCGGCGTCGACGGTCCGTCGCAGCCGGGGGGTCGCGCCCGCGGTTCTCGAGGGGGAAGGTTCCGGGCAGGTCACGACGGCGCAGAAGCGGCAAGCCGACGTTCGCCGAGGATCGTCGAACAAAAAACGGCACGAACATTTGGATCGTCGAACAAAAATCGCCGAGGATCGTCGAACAAGAAGGATCGCCGAGGATCGTGGAACAGACAATCGTCGAACAAACAACAATAAGTCGGATCACAGAGGTCCGCGCGAATTTGGATCGTCGTTGGGCCCCCTGGCGGCGTTTCTGGCGCCGCCCCTGGCTCGCCCCGCGCGCCAGGGAGGTGGGGTCAAGCGCCGACCCAAGAAATCCGTTGGGAACTCGGAGCATGTATGGTTTTGTAGGTTGTTCGTTCCTCCAGTCAAGCCGACGTTGGCCGAGGAATGAGAAGCGGAGTGGACGCAGGCGCCATGCCCCACCACCCGCCAAAAGGGAACCTTCCCTGGCTACAGCCAAGATGCTGGAACAAGGTCCGCTTTGGGTTCGGCAGGGGCTCGCTGCTCCTTAGGGCCTTCAATTGCTGTTTCTTTAGCTTCCTCGTGCACGCAGGCGCTTCTGGGGCCGAAAAGGGCATTCGTCCCTTGTCGAGCATTCTTTACTGCGAAGGGCACCCATCCTGGCTACAGCCGAGATGCTAAAACAAGGACAGCCTGGAGTTCGGAAGGGGCTCGCTGTTCCTTACGGTGGCTGTTCCTCCTTGGTATTTCTCTGCACGCCAACGCTTTTGCGGCCAAAACGGACGTTCGTTCCTTGTTTAGCTTTCCTCATTTCAGCAGCCCGGCTGTACTCCGACGGCGATCGTCCTCTCCTCCCGTTCGCGCCACGGCCAGCGTGAGCTCACAGTCGGTCATTCGACGCCCGCGCACGAGGCCTACGAGGCTTGCGTAGACCCCGAGGCTCCATATCAAGTGGACCCTGTCGAGTCACTGGGCCTCTTCGGCCGTCTTGGAGCGGCGGGAAGTGGAAAGGCGAGAACGGCGAAAATTGACAAACACCTACACAATATCAATACCTGTTGCCTCTTGGGGCCCCCTCGGCAGTGCTCGTGGAGGCTTCCTGGGGCCTCTTGGAGGTCTCCTGGGCAGCCTGGAGGGCGTGAAGTCCTTTGGACCGATCGTTTGGCGATTGGGGGCCCTGTTGGACCGGCTCAGGGGCCTCTTGGGGGACGCTTGGCCGGTCTTGGTACTTTTTGTGGCCCCGGGACCCCCAGGGGGGGATGCGCATCTGGCCCGGGACCACCCCCTGGCTTCCCCCTCCCCTTCGGCGGGGAAGGGATCGAAGGGAAAGGGCTTCCCTTCGATTCGATTGCGACATTGCCATGCTTTTCTCTCACAGGTAGGCTTGAGGAGGAGGGTGCAGGAAAGGGGGACGACGGAGACGACGACTCGAGCAGACAACCCCTCGCACACGCCCACAGGGTCGGCGGACATGGTGAACTATATGTAGTACAACCTATGTCGTGCGCAATTTGCGCGGTGTGCGCAATTTATGTGGTGCAATCGATTGGTACAATGTATGTGGAGGTACCTATGTTGTGTTATCTATGCGGTGCAACCTAAGTGTATACATATAACGGCGCACCTGGTCCGGGGGCCCTGGGCCGGGACCACGACCGCAAATGTGGGGACCGGGGGCTCTGGAGGCGCCGGAGGCCCACAGAATGCCATTAGAAAGCGCCAGGAGAGCCCCAAAACGCTCCAAGAGAGACCCGAGACACCCAAAGGTCGCTCTAAGACGCCCAGCATTGCCTCCGGACGGTTTCAGAAGCCCCCAAGACGCCCCAAAAGGCGTCCAAGCCGCGCCCGAAGAGATCTCCAAAAGGCAAAAATAGCCCCGTTCCTTTCGTAAAACGTATATTTTTACTACATCAATTGTTTTCGCTGCCGTACAGTTCATGACGACGCCGGAGGCCCCCAAGACAGCCCCAAGCCAGCCCAAGAGGCGCCCCAGAGGGCCCCAAGACAGCCCAAGAGAGCCTCAAGACGGCCCAAGAGGCGCCCAGAACAGCCCAAGTGCTGCCCTGAGGCCCACAAAAGGCTACCAGAAAGGACTCGGGACGTTCCAAACGCGACCCGAGACGCCCAATGGTCGCACCAAGACGCCCAACATCGCCCCAGACGGCTTCAGAAGCCGCCAAGACGCCCCAAAAGGTCTCCAAGACGCGCCCGCAGAGATCTCCAAAAGGGCAAAATAGCCCCATTCCCTTCGCAAAACGTATATTTTTACTACCTCAATTGTTTTCGCTGTCGTATAGTTCTTGACCACATCAGAGGCTCCCAAGACCGCCCCAAGACATCCTAAGTGGCGCCCCAGAGGGCCCCAAGACAGCCCAAGAGAGCCCCAAGACGGCCGATGAGGCGCCTAAAACAACCCAAGTGCGCCCCTGAGGCTTACAAAAAGCTACCAGAAAGGATTTAATACGCCCAAAGGTCACCCAAGACGCCCAACATTGCCTCCAGACGGCTTCAGAAGCCCCCAAGACGCCCCAAAAGGCCTCCAAAACGCGCTCGAAGAGATCTCCAAATTGCAAAAATAGCCCCATTCCCTTCGTGAAACGTATATTTTTACCATATCAATTGTTTTCGCTGTCGTACACTTCTTGACGACATCGAAAGCCCCCAATACTACCCCAAGACAGCCGGAGAGGCGCCCCAGAGGGCCCCAAGACGGCCCAAGAGAGCCCCAAGGCGGCCCAAGACGCGCCCAAAACATCCCAAGTGCGCCCCTGAGGCCCACCTACTGGATTTGGCTCGGGACTCTCGTGATATCAGAGAAGGTACGAACACCGTTTTTATATTCAGTTGTCTGCGGCATGCCCCGCCACCGTGCCAGCGCAGCTCTTGTGACACCTCTTGTCTCTATTGAAGACGCCTAATGCGAATCACCACCGCCCCCTTGCCTTATTGGAAACGTTTATGTGGCCAAACGTTGGGCCAAAGTTTGTCCAAGGTCTTGGGCTTTGTGTTCCCACAGCCGTTGTGGAAACCCGTGGGAACACTTGGGGGAGGAAGAGGGAGAGGATTAGACGCAGGAGCAAAAGGTGGAGGAGGAGGAGGAGGAGGAGGAGGAGGAGGAGGAGGAAGTAGGCCTCTCGGGGGCCTCCTGAGGGCCTCTTGGGGCCTCTTGGGAGCTTCTTGGGGCCTCTTGGGCCGTCTTCTGTCGTCTGACGCCTGCGGAGGCCGTCTTTGAGGACTCTCTGGGCCGCCTTGGGGCCTTCTTGGGGCGGTCCAGGGCAGTTTTGAATGTCTATTGGGCCGTCTTGGAACCCTCTAGGGACCTTCTTGGAGGCCTCTAGGCAATCTTGGGGCCCTCTTGGGCAGTCTTGGGGCCTTTTTGGGCGCCTCTTGGGCTGTTTTGGGGCCATCTTGGAGGCCTTTTGGACCTTTCTGGGCCGTCGGAAGCCAAACAAATGAGAACGCTAAAATCGCTTCAAACGTGCCGCCGCATATTGTCGACCTCTGCGCGGCGTCGGACGCCGAGCCGCTTGGCCAAAATATTCCGGAAGCCGTTTGGCTAAAATGTCTTTGCGGGCGCTCGCCCTTCTCTTGCGCCTTGCTTAGGTTCAATTGGGCTTAACCTACGCTCATGTGGGGTAGTTCGAGGGCACCTGGAGGCTCTACGCGGCCGTCTAGGCGTAGGATGCGCAGGATGGGTCACACGTGACAGCTTTCGTCTTCCCTTGTGGACTAGCCCTTCTGAGTCGTCAAATTTGACACCTCTTGTTATCACGTTTCTCCCGGCTCTCATGAACACTGCCCGGATTGTCTAGGGGCCCACCTACGCTTGTGCGGGGTTTGGATGGGGCTGTCGCGTGCTTGGCCCGAGATGCAGGATGCGCTGGATGCGTTGCGTGTGGTACCGAGCGTCTTCTCTTCTGGGACAAACCACCCCCGTCGTCATCGGCCTGTTGTTTTTTTTTATCAGCTATGGGGTTGCCCTTTTTTTTTTTTTTTTTTTTTTTCTTTGTTTTTTTTTTTTTTTTTTTTTTGCTTTTTTTTTTGTGATATTTTTTTTTTATTTGGGTTTTTTTGGTTTTCTTTCCTATCTTTTTTTCTTTTCTTTTTTTTTTTTTTGATTTTTGTTTTGTCTTTTTTTTTTTTTTCTTTTTGCTTTTTTTTTTTTATTTTTGCTTTTTTGGTTTTTGTTTTTTTTTTTTTTGTCCTCTTTGTTACTTTTGTTTTGTTTTTTTTTTGCTTTTTTTTGCGAATTCTGTGGGGCGGTTTCGGAGAGCCCTGGAGGTCCTCCAGGGCTGTGTTTGGCCAACTAACCCCAGCGTCGGGTGCCGAAGAGGGAGAGGATGAGAAGAGGGAGCAAAGGGAGAAGGAGGAGGAGGAGGAGGAGGAGGAGGAGGAGGAGGCAGTAGGCCTCTTGGGGGCCTCCTCAGGGCCTCTTGGGGGCCTCTTGGGAGCTTCTCGGGGCCTCTTGGGCCGTCTTCTGTCGTCTGACGCCTGCGGAGGCCGTCTTTCAGTCCTCTCTGGGCCGCCTTGGGGCCTTCTTGGGGCGGTTCAGGGCAGTCTTGAATGTCTATTGGGCCGTCTTGGAACCCTCTAGGGACCTTCTTGGAGGCTTCTTCGGCAATCTTGGGGCCCCCTTGGGCAGTCCTGGGGCCTTTTTGGGAGCCTCTCGGGCTGTCTTGGGGCCATTTTGGTGCCTTCTGGGCCTTTCTGGGCCGTCGGAAGCCATTGGCAGCGGGGGCGTCACCACGCAGAGTTTTTCAAGATCAGACACTTTGAAAAATAATTGTTTCCATTGCCAGAAAGTATTCCAGGCATCCCAGTTGGGGTCCGAGTCGATGGGGTTGGAGGATCGCGCCGTATCGTCGATGTATCGGCGATGCGGCTCGATGTGGAGCCCGAGTTGTTCCACGCTGGAGTCGCCGATGCATCGGCGATGCATCGCCGATGTGTTGGCGATGCGGTGCGATCTTCCGGCCCCATCTACGCCGACCCCCTCTAGCATGTGTGCATGTG